CTATTACTATTAGATAAATCATTTTTTCTTTACAAAAATCTTGAAATCGTGACAAGGTAAAAGCTGTCTATTTTTCTGTTAAGATTTTACATGAAAACATATAAGAGTTATAAGGAAGAAATGTTTTACAGAAAATGTTGTTAACTATGGATCAATATGTATGTTACAGAAAGCTGGGGAAAAACGTTGTTAAAAGGAAAAAATAATTAATTATGTGAATATTTTCAATACTCCATATACCATTTCATATATCTTGATATATGATTGCCGTTTAATTTATATTTGGTGTTTAAATATGTACACTCTCACGATGTCGCGGGCAACTCATGTAAATATATATGCAGAGACATGTTCTTACGTTTGTAATCTCTGATAGAATAGTTTAAATTGAGCAAATTGATTTCTAAGTCGGTTATTAGACATAAATAAATAATATAGATTAATATAGCTATTACTCATTACTAAAGTTTGAAGCCCCTGAGCCTAGATAGCGTAAGATATTTCATTAAATTTTAAAATGAATCATTATGTTTGTCGAACCTCCAAAAAGGCTTTATATTATCTAAATAAATATTTCACTTTGGCTCTTACTTTATAATTGAGGTGATGAAATATAAATTTTATCTCGACTTATGTTGGCTTTGTTCAAATATTCAAAACATTAAGTATCCCAATTAGTTTGAATTCATTACAAGTATTAATTATATTAGGCTTCAAGTTATGAAGAGCTTTTGTCTCAATAAATACAATATAATGGGACTGATGACGGCCTCGGTGGTCTAGCGATTTAGCACACCGCTTTACTATCGATGGTCGCGGGTTCGATTCCTCGCACGCTGTAAACATTTGTATTCGTGAGTATGATTGTTTGTATCAGTCTGGGTGCTTTCTATATTATGTATGTATTTACAAATATATATATATATATATATATATATATATATATATATATATATATATATATATATATATATATATATATATATATATATATATATATATATATAGATATATCTAAGTATTTATTTCAGTTGTCTAGTACCCATAACACAAACTCTGCTTACCTTGGGACTAGATGGCGATGTGTTAATTGACCAGGGTTATTTATTTATTATTTGTTACTATTATTGGTAAAGAACTGTGATAGGTACCATAAGTTAGTTTATACTAATAAGGTTTTTTTTATATTAAAATTTGAGCGCGTTTGACCGCAATCTCACCTGATGTTAAGTGATGATGTGGTCTAAGCTGTTACACGTAAGCTCAAATAATGCCTATTCACTCTTGACTTGAAAGACCCAATGTTGTAAGAGGCAGGAAAAATAGAGGCTGGTAGAGAGTTCCACTCCTTAGCTGCTCGCATAAGGTCGCTGTTTAGTCTGCATTTCATAATTCTTGAAATGGATTTGGTTTTCCAAAATAATAAACAATTTAACAGATTAAAATTTTGACCTTTTAACAATAAAATAAGATCGTCTTTAACGTTGACAGCAAATTTACAAAACAATGTATTTATGTTGTCAAAATCTTGTAAACGATCTCATCAATAACAAAGAAACGATGGAGTCATTATGTATTGTAAGATTTATTGACAAATTTCTATAACATTTAATACTGTTATTCTTACTGTGTTCATAATATTGATTTATGTCACACGTCAATCATTTTAATTAAGCTTCAATATCCTTCATATATCTAATGCCTTTCCATAAAAACACACTACTATTGGTCGTAGTTATTAGTCTCATTTAAAAGATCTTACCCTAAAATTCTCTTATAAAATCTGTAAAAAGTTAACACGAAGACAGGACAAGCACAAAACAACTGCCGAGGTGTGAGAAATTACAGCATGGGGTTTTTCAAGTAGGGTATAATTTGTTAAGGATCGGCAACGCATAAGTGACAACCCTGGTGTGTAAGGCGTCCATAGGCTGCGGTAAACATTCTTCAGATGAGGTGTATGCTTGATTGCTATCATCGTACTATAAAAAATACACAAACTAAATCCAAAAATCCCTTTTGTACTTGAAGTCAGTTTATATAAATAATTTAACATATCGAAGTTCTGAAAAATATATGCATTACCTACCATATATGATTACAATGCAGGGAAATTTAATTTAGATTATGATACTAGATACTTTAGAGATCGACAGTCAATTATAGAGTTTGTTGCTTTACTTTATAAGAAAGCAATGAATTTAGGAATGAAGAGTGAATGTGGTAAAGCGTAATTTAAATAAACTCATATTCAAGAACATTTTATTCAGTCCTCTATCAGGATTTCATAGCTAATAAAGAATAAAACAAATTCCGTCCAGGTAAGCTCTAATTTCTTGAGAAAAGTATTTACATTTGAAAACATTTTATTCATTGTTTCTTCTTTGTTCCTTTCATTAGCATTAATAACAGACAATTAAGAAATCGCCAGGGCGCGAGAGTAATTTATCATTGGCAAGTTGGTGGCAACTTATCTGACAGCCAGTGGTTCCAAGTAATAAACTTTGTAAATTATGAACACAGACGCTAAACAGGTATTTTCCGACCGCTTAATTTAGAAAATATCTAAAATTGTTGGATTTCCCTGTCGCTATGTTGTCTACTCTGATAAATAAGAAAATAAATTAAATATATAAGATCGCTTTGTCATTTTCCGTGTTTACTTGGTTATATTTTTCGCCTTTATGTTTCCTTTCGGTATTGGATCTCGAATAAGCTACTTGTTAACACAGTTTTATTTTGATTGATGAGTGATAATAGTAATAATAGTAGATAATGAAGAACAAATTGTATGATTTATTTATTTTATGACCCACAAAGAGATTTATATTAGGATTAAATGCATTACAAAACAAAAATTAAAATATTTTATACTAAGTAATCTTTATGTTATATCATAATGGCAAGATACTTTATCTTTCTCTTTTTTCCTACAATTTAGTTTGCATTTATGTTGCAATTATTTTAATAATTATTAATTTATATAGTCTATACTATATGATTAAAACATTACACATAATATTATTATTCAATTTATAATTACAAAACGTCACTTCTATATTAGTGCATAATAATATAATGTAATCTAATGAGAACATTAATAAACTAATGTCTGTAAATCCGTTTTATAAGGTAATAATGAAGTTGATATTACCTAATTCAATATTAGAAGTGTAATGGTCAGTAATAATGAAAATTATGAGCTCATACAGAATTATATGGGATCGACCTCAGATTACCACAAAATTTACTATTTTTCCCGCACCTTTGCGTTTTACGATTATGGTAGGCCAAAATGATATTGATGAAAATTGCCACGGAATTTGCTGAGTTATTTGAATGAGATATTGAATTTTAGTACTATATTTAATGTTGATATTTCGAAAGACGCCCATTTTATGTGGATGGGTAAACTTAAACGTTTCATTTTATTACAGTATTCGGTATAAGTTTAGATGTACTTTTGAGGTCCTCTAAAACTTGATCTTAATGTATCGAATATGTTTTTATTAGAAAAATTGTTATGGTAGATATGTTAATGTATGTGTCTCTATTTTTACAAGTATACAAGTAGTATTTTCTGCATAGAAGGATGCTACGCTGCATATTAATGTGAAAGGAGCGGATAAAACAATATTATTAATTTTTAAACTAAATATTTTTTATTTTAAATAATACGTAAACATTTTTTAATATAATATAGTAAAATGTATTATAGGTAGCCAGTTTAATTAAATGTACTTCCATTTAATTACGTAAACCACTACTTACTTATTAGTTTATAATAGATCGCGTTTATTACCAATATTGGATCCGCTACCAGTCTGGAAAATTAATACTGACGTTAGAAATTTTGCACGTGTATAATAAGCAAAGATTAATTATTATAGATAATATAATTATAGTATAATTTATTTAAAATAATATAATAAAATCCATTACACCTAAATATATCATATAATATAATGAAATAAAGTAATTCTCCTTCAAATATCGAAATTTGTTCATTCGATGTTACTAGGGAACTTGGCATTTGTTATTACTTTGTAGGCTTAGTTGTAGGCTTCTCTGATAATAAAAAGTATTTCAATTTAACGACGATTTTATATTTTTTAAAATAGTAATATTTTAAGAGACCATTGGAATTTTACACGTTTTTTGTTACAAAGTGATAGTTTATCTCATAATCTCTTTAATATACATACACATGTCTATGATGTACTTCTTATTACCTTCGCAACTAAAATATAATGAAAATAGGATTGGAAGAACTGAAAATGTCGACATTAAGTAGCTTTTAAAGAAACATTTACGTGGTCTTAACAAATACGTACCTATTCACTGGAACGTAAACAGAGAAATTCATTTGCTACCTTCAAGTTAAACATTTGGCGCTGTACCCGTATTTAGAGAATGGTTAGAATTGTCTTTACAACGCCTGTAGCTAAAATTGTGTATTTTCTACGTTATTGTTCGTTTATTTCAGTTCTTAACCCCTGATTCTTGTATTACTGTAGCTCACAAATGAATAAACAGTGCGGTTTTTTTAGTTGAAGGAAGAGATGTTGTGACGTTTGTGCTACTCCTCATTTGTTTTATTTGCTATGATTTAAAGGTATTGTTTGTGATTATGATAATAAAGGAATAAAATTGAATTGCAAGATTTTATAGGCGTGACATTAGTAATGATTTTTAAGAGTAAATTTTTAATGTTACCTAATTCTATAAAATTCTGGATAATTATATATAACTATATTAAATACTGTTTAATTTTGGATTGTATTATATTTAATAAATACTATAAAATTAACGAATAATTATTAAACCTAATTACGTACTAATCAACTCAAAAAACTAAATTCTATAATAATATTTATATTTTTTGGTTCATTTAAATTTTTATTGCGATTTTTTTATGTAAATGAAACCTTGTCCTATTACGCTACGAGTATAGAAATAATTACATGCAATGAAACATGATAGTGCACGCAGCAAATTACCTAGGGCAAACTTGACGCCGGTCCATGCGGTGCGCACATAGTGAAAGAGTCGGCGGTAGAGCGGACGGTGGCGGCGGCGGCGCACGGGCGCCTCCGCGTCGGGCGCGGGCGAGGGCGCGGGCTCGTCCGCCCCGCCCGCACCCCCGCGACCCTCCACCGACGACGCCGTGGCGTTGCGCACCCAGCTTTACTCGAAACGCTCGCTCTCCGTTAATGAAACCGCACCGTTATCACACACACATTCACTCACATGCATTGTTCACACATTAGAGTCTTGATGCACCACAATTGTTATTTATCTTTGTCTATTTTCGCATCGTCAGTGAACTCCGCTTAATTAGTGAAGTCCTGATGAGTAGCGTTCGTATAATTGGATATTATGCACAGTAATGTAAATCAAGCAATTCAACTTTCTGACGTGGGGTTGTTGAAATTGATATTTGACTTGTTTAATAATTCAAACGGTATTCGAGACGGTTTATAAGCAGCGGTCAGAGTATTACATATATATATATTATTTTTAAAGTTTATTGTAAGTAATTTTCAAGTATATTTGAAGTCCACGAACGTTCAACAGTTTTTAGATAAACTTGAACATGAGGCGGCCGCGGCAAAAGATTTTAAAAGCAGTTATGTTCTTATTTCTTGTCAAGTTTTTCAATAAGTGCCCAGCAAGCGTTAGGGAGGCGGAAGCCGGGAATCTGTGAACAAAGAAACAATTTGTTAGTCTTGTTAGTGGGCAGTCACGGCGAAATTAGTTTCTTGTTAAACGTGTTAGTTAACAGTTATTGGTTTTATAATTGTTTTAAAATATAAAATGTGCCTCAATAACTAATGTATTCATTTTTATAACATTTCAAGATCTTGTTGTAGTACTTAGTGTAGTAGATATAATATAGGTTACATGATAATATAGTTTTAATACAGAATACGGTTTACATTATTAATGAAATGATAATTGAGTGGCTTACATTTATATCATTTATCGATATATTGAAAATACTTGATAATGAAAAATAAAAAAGAGCATAAACTAGTAAGCATTTTCATCTATATTAAACAGATTTTCATAGGTTTATAATTAATAATATTTATAGGTACAATATGTATGTAGGTTCATAAGAAAATATGTGCTTTTTAAATTACTTTATAAATTTTCCTATAATGGATTATTTATTATGAAATCATAATTATTTATATTTGCAAGAGAGAAAAAGGTATACAATCTGTTTAAAATTGAAATTAATATTGCTGAGATATGGTAGCAGTTTACTAGTTGTAGATTTTATATTACACTTCTATTAAAAGTTAGAACCGATACGATATTTAAAGTTTAAACTCAAGTTTTCAGTTTAAACCTGCGAGATGTAAACCAGTGAGTTGTAAACTTCCCAACGTGAACTTAGTGTTTAATTTGAGTGTAGTCATTCATGAACACTGTATCCAAATGTTATATTATTCACTGGAAGTCCTGAATAGAACTTTACCTTATAACATGGTACTAGTATTAATTTTATGGATATAAAAGCATTTCATTTAATATATATAAAAAGGTTATCGAATTCAGTGTTAGTAAGGCTGCATGTACCAAGTGAAAAGTCAATGATTATATGCCGTTGAACGTGTTTACTTAAGAAGCAAAATGGGAATCCGAAGATTTTTTTATTTCACGGAAATTGCAAATGAGCGGCCCAGTGTCCGTGTTGGTAAACGTCGTTAACATCAACAACATATTGGGGATATTATGGGACATGTGACTCGCATAATACTACCAACCATGAGTTATCATTCTAGAGGACTAAGGTGTAAAGCTTCCTTGCAAACAAAAACATTGCAAACTGCTAGGTACCGTCTAAACGACTATCTACAAAGTTATTCTGACACTAAACGTTGCACCGTTCTTAATATTCGTAAAGTAATAATGTTTTTTAATAAAAATATACTGAATCTAAGTGTACGCGGGAGGAAGTTCCTCTGAAACCGTACTATTCGAGACACGTAGGTTCCAATGTATGGAGATAAATTCCCTGTAGTAAGCATCATGTCAAAGACTTTTTCAGAACATAGTCCGTTGTACTCGTATATTCGGTAAAACACAAATGCGATGCTACAATTATTTCGTATACCCCGTAATGAAGATAAATATTATTCCTATCCTGATATTTTAAATGATATGGCAACACTACTCATGAATAAAGACGCGGCATTCTCTGTTTGTACTGGATTTGCATTAGAATTGGATTCCGTGGCGTGCCTCATGTAAATTTGTCGCCTGTGTGTACGAAAAATCTGTCACGTGATATATTATGTACTTGTTTCGAAGAAACAATTGTATTGTAGTAGAAATGGTAAGGATATGAATACATTGTCATGTGTTAGTTATCTTACTAATGTACACAATAAGAAATATGGTTACAAGTTCAAAGGGATTCATACTGTAAGAAGATAAGATAATATATTCCATCGATCAATAATAAACGTATAATAATATTGAAAAGTTCTTATTGTTTGGCAATATGGTAACTACTTTAACATGAATTGAGATAAAAGTTATAGTCATGATAAACTTTTACGATTATGAATATTTACAAAATATTATAGTTATGGAATATAATGAACATAACAGTAAATCTAAAAAATAATAATAACTACCATTTTCTAAAGCAAATTTATGTAACGCAATAAGTTTTTTATTATATCTTTAGACAACAAACAAAAAGCTAGAGTGCATGCATTATAATAATTAAAACTTTTACAGGGCTGCAGATTAAGTCAATGTTTGGAGACTGGTCGCTATAATTAACTCATGAAATGAACTTTCATCAGAGTTTCCCAACGACGTAGCAACGAAGTTGTCTTATTGTTATATTAGTGTTGTTCCATACTATTTTTACTTATTTTTTTTACTAAATTCTTTGGGGTAAAGGTACTTAGAATTTAGTCCATTAAACTTTATTACTCGAAAAATCATAGGTACCGATGTGTGTTCCGTGAGTAAACCAGATTCGTTTATTTCGAAGTAGTTTTTACTTCACTAGTTTTTACGACTTCGTCCGTCTCTCCGACCAGGATATAGGGATTACCGACTATTGATTGACCGAGATAAAAAGTGTCCTATCCTTCTCCATTCCATATACTGCGTACCAAATTTTATGACGATTGATTGAGCCATCAAGGCGCCTAGAGGTAACAAATAAATTTAATAAGAACCTAACTAACTTTCATATTGAAAGCAAACCTCCATCCTTAAAAATATATGTAATTGCAGCAAATATAATTTTCATTAATTTTAAACTAGTATTTATTGTAATATTACAAACTATCTTAGTTTATAATATTCCTAGTACAGATAATATTATATAAAAAAGAACCGTCCCTTCGTCCAATTTGTTGACAGTTGGAATTTGAGGTTTTGTATCCTCAGCGGTTGTCCGCTCAATGCATTTAAGGCTTGCAAGAAATTAAGGATCAAGTGATCATAAACCTTTGGAAACAATATCATTTAAGGTTTATCCGTGATCGTTTTAGGAAACTAGTATCGTTTATTCAACGTATTATTATTAGAATAAAATAGATTCAGCTTTATTCAGAAGAATGAGCAAGAAATGACTAAGAAGCTACGGCTGGTTCTTATTTTAATAGTAGATAAGACTTTAGAAACTAGTATAAGTCTTTATGTCTGTACTTGATATACAATTATAATTAACTTAAAAATAAATTTCCTCCCTTTATATTAAATTACCCAAATTAATAATATCAATTAGTTATTGCGATTGTCAATTATATCACGAGATTTCAAAAAAAAAAACAAATAAAGTCTTGGGAAACAGTGGCTTGTTGTAAATATAACAAGAATGTTATCCGATGTAATTGTATTAACGCCATTGTCTATATATATTAAATAGCAGAGTTTCGTATTTGATTGATATCTAGAAATAAATGAGATAAATTTAATTCCATCCAGCAAATTAGCAAGAGCTCTAAAACCTAAAATAATTTATTGTTCCATAAAATTTTTATCTGGCCTCAATTAAGAGCTCATTTAAATTTTTCACGTCCCAGTTTCACTTTTAGATTATCTCGGTTTATTATTTTACATTACCTTATATACAATGCAATCAATATGTCGGTCCGGTGGATATTACATACGATTTCCGAAATGTATGTAATAACTACTGACATATGAGATTGAAGATATTATTCTATATTGTCTTGAAACGGAAGTTAAACGATAGAGTTCCCATTTCAAAAATATTATTCAAAATCTATGGAGAATGGATAATGAAATGGTGCAATATATGTTTGAAAAATACAGTCAATTTGGAAACCTTGTTTTTGTATAATAAAATATTAATGCCCGTAGTTACCCGTTAATTGTTCAATCGGTAGTTCACATTACAATGGTTTGTTTTTAGTGTGTCGTATAACAAACATTCTACGAATTATTCTTGTATAGTTTATTTACTGTTAAGTATACAGATAAACATTATGTTAACTTTTTTAAATGTCATATATTATAAGTTACTTTACATTTATATATTTATCATTTATTTATTATATTTACCAAAATAAATTTATGTTACCTTAATTAAAATGACGAAACGCTGCAAGCTTTATTACGGAAAACTTTTCGGAGTTCAGAACGGGGTGAATGTTTTGAAGAAGTTTATTTAAGTATATCGTGTATGGATATTTAATTATTTTACTATAGATTTGTGTAAATTGATATTAAAAAAAGCAATGGAATAGAAAATAATCTTGATAGGATGTTTACAAATAAAAAGGAATACCAGAGACTTATTAGAATTTGCAGAGAGCCACAAGTTAGTTTATTTTTGCATTTTTTAAATATATATAAATGTAATTTTATTCTATAGTTTTTTTGCTATTACTAAAATGAACGTGTGAATATATTCTAACATAAATTTATAACATGTTGTTACGTAGTAACCGTCGCTTATGTAGGTATTATAATTATAATAATTGCCGATAAAATGAAATCACGATTAAGAAAATTAATGAGAGGTGATACAGCAACTTATTGGTATTATGAAAAATGATGTTCAGCTTTTAGGGATTATCGTTCCCATTTGGCTGAATACATAGCTTATTTCTCTGTTTAAAACTTTCATACAATATATTTTCAACTTTAATCAATTAGCTTAAATATATGCATAAACATATGTTTCAGCTGATTTGCTGTTTAAATAAAGTTACTACTATATTAAATATAGCCATTTGGAATTATTTAGTTCTTATATTTTATA